TATCCGTTTATTCCTTTACACACCCACGCCCACCACCCTCCCTCTGCCTCCTCCACCCACCCACATCCTCCAGCCTGACGACGCAGCACCACATCTGGCGTGCCCCTGCCCTTCTCTCAGTCGACGGTTCTCCAGGGCCTCACTCCTCTCTCTCTCTCGCAGATACTCCTCTCAGCTGCGGCGCATCCTCGTCTCCGCTCTGGCCACGCTATGGTCGGTGACTGCGAGCAGATTTTCGGCCAGTTTCAACAGCATCTTTCTACTACATATCGTACTGTTAGGCTCTATTTATCTTTATCTCTTTATCCTTTTTCCCACTCGTTCTCCGGGTTTTTTTATATACAGATCTGTTCTGTATCTGTTCTCCAGCATCTCCCTGAGCTATCTGAAAAAGATGTTAGTTGAGCTGTCTTGCGTATGTACCGATTAGCGTGATCTATGTTAGCTCTCTCTCTCTGTCTCTGTCTGTCTCTCTGTCTCTCTCTCTCTCTCTCTCTCTCTCTCCTCTCTCTCCTTCTCCTTCTCTCTCTCTCTCCTCCTCTCTCTCTCTCTCTCTCTCTCTCTCTCTCTCTCTCTCTCTCTCTCTCTCTCTCTCTCTGATTGTCTGTCTGCCTAGCTTAACTCTCTCTCTCTCCCTCCCTCCTCCCATCCTCCTCTCTCCATCCTTCCTCTCCTCCTCTCTCTCTCCTCTCTCCCCTCTCTCCTCTCCTCTCCCCTCCTCCTCTTCCCGCTCCGTTCTCCTCACTCTCTACTCGCGTCATCTATATCTTCTCCTCACTCCCTCTCCTCTCTCTCTCTCCTCTTTCCCCTCTACCCTCGCCTCGCCGATTGCCCTCTAGTATCTCTGACACGCCTAGCTTAATTCTCCCTCCGCTCGGCACATCTTCCCCCTCCAACACTGCTCTTCTCACCCTCCTCTTCCCTCTACACCCTCTCTCTCCCATCTCACCGTCTCCTCTCCCCACCTTTCCCTCGTCGTCCCCGTCTCCCCCGACCCTCCACCTCTCCCTCCCCCCCAATACATATCCCGACCAGTCTACGCTCAGTCCCCACCACCGTACTCCTCTCTCTTACCTCCGTCCCTCCCTCTCCTCCCTCGCTCACCCCTAACACCTCCGCCTCATCCCCTCACTCTTCGCCTCCTCCCCCATCCCCCTCCTCATAACGCCCCCCTCCTCCATCACACCCATCACCTCGCCACCCATTCTGAACTCTGCCTTGTCACACATGACCTAGCTTAACTCCACACCACTCAACATCTCACTCCCACTCAACGCCTCTACACTCTCATCCTCTCATTCTCCTCGCAATATCAAATATCATCACAATCTCATCACAAAAACAAAAATACCTAACAAAAAAAACTGCGAATACTCGATACATAAAAATCAATACTACAACAACAAAATCAAACAAACCACTACAAAAATATCAAAATAATGAAGAAAACACAGAATCCAAGCTCTCCAAAAAAAAAAAAAATACATAAAAATCTACAAAAACAAGAATCAAACTACATACAAAACGATACAAATCATCACTACAAAATCAAATACAGAAATAATAAAACCGTCTCAATAACTCCAAATCCCTACCACAAAACTCAATCAAATCTAACAAACATACAGTCAATCGAATCCCAAAAACGAAATAAAACAAGATCAAAAAAGCAAAAAAAAAATACAAAAGCATAACAGCAATATAGCAAAAAAAAAAAAGAAAAAAAAAGGAAAAAGAAAGAAAACGTCGCGAACAATACAAATCTCCCAATACCAAAAATCAAGAAAAAAAAAAAAAAAAAAAAAAATCAAAAAAAAACAAACAAAAACACAAAAACCAAAATCGCCTTATCACAAAAAACAATTTAACTCAACAAATCTCAATACCAAACCTCCAATCAAATCTCAATCTAAAACACTCAACTACTACTCTCTCTCTCGCTGCTCTCAATACAGTCAACTCAAAAAGAAAAAAAAAAACTCTCTCTCTCACTCCTCAAATACTCCCCAATAACCAGACATCTCAGCCTCAATCAAATCACAACTCACAAACCTCTCTCTCATCCTCGAAAATCAATCCTTCTAACTTTCATCAAATACAACTCTCTCATCCTCTCTTCGCCCAGATCTCTCTCTCTCTCTCTCTCTCTCTCACCTCCATCTCTCGTCCAAACTCTCATTACTCTCTCTTCTCTTGCTACTCTATAGTATCTACATCTCTTCGTCTCGGCGTTCACGTCCCCTGAATCTCACTTCATTGCTGAAATCCTCTGCGTCTTCACATGTGTTCACTGTGCCCTTGGCCTTCCAGATCAGTCAGTCCCTCTGCTCCTGAAACAGTAATGAAAACAGCTTCTTCGATATCCTTCTCGAGGTCGACAAAGCCACAGTCCGTCCTTTATCCCTTTGTCATTCTCCCTTTCCCTTTCATAAACCTAAACAGAGTACTTCGTATTGGCACAGTTCTATTCAATCTTTCGCACACAATCCCTTCCCTTCAG